ATTCCTGGTTTTCAAATCTATGTATTTTGGGGTTTTTTCTAATGCTAACTTCTCATAAAGGGGTGTGTAAGGGGACATCTGTCTCTCTCTGTCTATAAGGGCTTTATACTGCCACCCATCAGCACAGGATCGGAGCACATTCCAGGGCAGATCAACTGCGACAGCAAAGGAGGTGCACAGCTCAACAGGGAGAAGAACTATCGCAAGGCTCTCACCCATCAGTCCAGGGGCGCCAGGAAATCCTGGTTGTCCTGTTTGAAAAAAAAAATTCAAAAGAATCAGCAGCGATGATTTATTTGTGGCTTAGACACCATAGACCTGATTCTGAGCTCTGACCCTGGGGTCAATCAGAAGCAGCTTCAATTAGTTTATTTGGGTGTGAGAAAGAATCCAGGCCCCAGGGGTGCAGCTGCTCCTCCTGGGCACAGTCCGGCACAGGGGACAGCGCAGACACACCACCTTAGCAGGAGCTCCAGGAGGCACGGTCCCAGCTGGGGACCCCGGCGGGCACAGCACAGAGCTACCCTTGAAGAGGACCCAGGAATTACCCTTCTCTGAGACTGGCCCAATCCACTCACTGAAGGTGCTCAGACATGAAGCTGTCTAGGGGTGGTGCGTTGAGGGTGAGGCAAAGCCGTGCCTTCACCACTGCTCCACGGCAGTGAGTGGAGCTGGGTAGCGGCAGAGAGGGACACGCTTCAGTGACACCAGTACCCGATTGGTTCCAGCTGGGGTGTTCACCAGTGTAAGCGAGAAGAGAACCCACCCCTTTGTGCATGCACTTTTGGGAAGATCCACGCAGTCTAAAAACCTCCCCTGGATAGTTAACTCACAACTTTCCCCTTTGCTCTTTAGTATTTTCCCTCTTGGCCCAGGATCTCCTGCCATTAGAAGTGGAGCCTAAAAGCACAAAAGATTCTGAATTAATATTTTATTATTTTACCTTTTTCCCCTGGTGGTCCTCGTGCCCCAGGGAGCCCTGGACGACCACTTAATCCTACAGACACAAAAGACTCCAAGTTATTATCCTGCATATGAAAATAGGGAATTATTTGTTAGGGTTAAAATGGGGGGATGGGCCAGTTCCTACATGCCTCCCCCAAAGCCAGATTTCAAAATTAGAATTACATTTCTTCTCTGCCCTGGTTCTCAGATCCCCCACTGACCTTATTGGGAATTTCCCCGGAGCTAGGAATGCAGGATCAAGCCCCTTCTCTCAGCTCTTGCAAAACTGGCCAAACGGAAGGCCAATGACAAATGTTTTCAGTGCTGTCAGGTGGTCGGTTTGCAAACAGAAAGCCTTCATTCGGCCCCTGAGCATCCACTGCTAGTGTCTCCATCACAGGAAAGGAGCCATTTCAATTAGGGTGACCCTATGTCCCATTTTAGTCCTTTTTTAAAAAAATTAAATTAAAGGAGATATCCTATCTCTGGAAGGGACCTTGAAAGGTCATCAAGTGGAGCCCCCCTGCCTTCACTAGCAGGACCAAATACTGATTTTGCCCCAGATGCATAAGTGGCCCCCTCAAGAATTGAACTATAACCCTAGGTTTAACAGGCCAATGCTCAAACCACTGAGCTATCCCTCCCCTGCATACCCTGGCAAACCCAACTTTTTTGACAAAACTGGGCAGTTATCCTGTTTGCTCTTGTCAACTGACCATCAGCTGGCAAGAGCAAACTGGAGAAATGAATGGCTTTGCCAAAAAAGTGGGGTGGGACCCCTAGGGTGGCGCAGCGGAACGTGCGGTGGTGGGGTTGGCAATGCTGCCCTGCACTGGAGGAAGACCTAGGGAGAGCAGCTCGGACGGGTGCCCACGGCCGGCCCGCTACTCCACTGCCCGAGTTTCCCCCCCCCCCGCCCCCAAAAAGTTGTGACGGCCAGGACAGGGCCTAAAAAAGGACGGTCCCTGACAAAATGGGACATATAGTGGCCTGCAGGGTGGGGGTCTGGGGCCAGCCCCAGGTGCTGGGGGGAAAGGGGGACCTCAGCCAGGCCCCGTGCGGGCGTAAGGCAGCAAGGGCTCGGGCCAGACCAAACCAGGCCGGGGGTGTCCCATTTTCCCTTTGGGAAAATATGGCCCCCTAATTTCGGGTCCTGACCCCTCCTCCAGAGGGCAATTGCTGGAGTCCTTCTGCCACCCCCAGATGTGTGGAGGAGCAGAGCCAGCAGGATGTCTCAGTGCTGTGATGGGGGAGATGGGGGAGAGTCCAGGGAGCCTAGTGGAAAAGGTCACATGGAATCTTACTGGTTGAGGAAAGTGCCACGGTCCTGTGTGGAGAGGGGGGAGGGTGGCAGGAGGGGGGAAGTTAAAGGAGGGGGCAAAGATGGTGGAAAGGTGGCAGGGGCTGCTGGTGTGGGGTTGGATAAGAGGAGGGAAGTCAAACTATTTGGCTGGAAAGAAGATAAAACTGAAGGAATAATGAGTGAATTTGTAGTGGAGGAATTCAGCCTGGTCACAGAGCTTCTGCCAGAGATGCTCAACGGCAAGAGAACTGGGGTGGAGGAGGAGGTGTTGGGGGGTAACCCAGGGCTGGGACTTGGCAGGATGGGCCTTGACATGGGAGAGGGGAGCCAAGGAGATGAGGGTGGCGGAAAGAGTGGGGTTAGGGATGCCAAATTTCTAATTGTACAAAACCAAACACCCTTGCCCCGCCCCCTGCCCCGCCCCTTCCCTGAGCCCCACCTCCACTCACTCCAGTCCCCCTCCCTCCGTTGATCATGCTTCCCCACCCTCACTCGCTTTCAGTGGGCTGGGACAGGGAGTTACTGTGCAGGAGGGGGTGAGGGTTCCAACTGGGGGTGCAGATCCAAGGTGGGGCCACAAATGAGGGGTTCATGGTGCCTGAGAGGGCACTGGGGTGGGTCTGGATTTAGGGTATGGAATGGGGTGAGGGCTCCGGCTGGGGGTGCGGGCTATGGGGTGGGGCCAGGGGATGAGGGGCTTGGGTGCAGGAGGGGGCTCCAGGCTGGGGCCAAGGGGTTTGGAGTGTGGGAGTGGGCTCAGGACTGTGGCAGAGGATTGGGGTGCATGAAGGGGTGAGGGCTCCAGCTAGGGGTGCAGCTCGGATGAGGGGCTTGGGGTGCAGGAGGGGGCTCCGGGCTGGGGCCAAAGGGTTTGGAGTGCAGGAGTGGGCTCAGGGCTGGGGTAGGAGGTTGGGGTGCATGAAGGGGTGAGGGCTCCAGCTGGGGGTGCGGCTGAGGATGAGGGGTTTGGGTGCAGGAGGGGGCTCTGGGCTGGGGCAGGAGGCTGCGGTGCAGGGGGGGATGCAGGATCTTGGAGAGAGTTTGGGTGCGGGAGGAGGTTCCAACCTGAGTCAGGGGGTTAGCGTGTGGGCGGAGGTGTGGGCTCCGTCCGGGCGGTGCTTACCTCAGGCAGCTCCCGGTCAGCAGCACAATGGGGCTGGCAGGCTCCCTGAAGCAGTCAGCATGTCTGGCTCCTAGGCGCAGGGGCGGCCACATCCAGGTGGCTCTGTGCAGTGTGTGCTGCTGGCAGGTACCACCCCTGCAGCTCCCATTGGCTGCAGTTTCCGGCCAATGGGAGCCGCGGAACTGGTGCTCAGGGCAGGGGCAGCACATGGAGCTTCCTTGAGTGCACTTGTGCCGAGGGGCTGCACATGTTGGCCACTTCCGGGAGCCGCGCAGAGCCAGGGCAGGCAGGGAGCCTGCCTTAGCCCCGCTGGGCCGCCGACTGGACTTTTAACGACCTGGTCAGCAGTGCTGACCAAACCCACCAGGATCCCTTTTCAACGGGGCGCCTGGAAACCCTAAGTGGGTGGAAGGAATCACTGCACAAGTCACTGGAGGGGAGGGAAGAAAAGGCCAGGGAAGGGGGCTGAGAGCAGAAGAGAATTTGTGGATACCGATGGATTGGAAGTCCCAGAAAGGTCAGGTGGGAGATGCTGAGGTGGGGATCAAGTAATGCAGAGACCAGAGAGGATGCAGTATGTGGAGAAGACCAGAGTGAGCGGCCATATTGGTGAGAGGGGAGCTGATCCAGGGCTGCAGGTCAGACAAGGAAGTCAGGGGGCCAGACACAACGACGTGGAAGATGACGTCACCGAAGATGAAGGCAGAGGATTGTGACATGTGGAAGAGCAAGGAGGTAAAGTGAGGAAGGAAGGTGGGTGACAGACCGCAGCAATATGGAGCAGGAGGCTCAGGTGGAGCATTGTTCCAAGGAGGAGAAAAAACGAGAGGGAGGACTGAGGGTGCGAGTTGGGACTGGCACAGACTAATGTCCCACCCCTGTGTTTGCAGGAGGATTCAGGATGAGGGGGATGGAAGAGGAAAAGGCCACCACAACGTTTCCGTAGAGGCAGAATGGGAGCCACAAACCCAGGTCTCTGTGAGAACCAGGAGACGGGAAGAGTGGGAGAGGAGACGCTCACAGTTGGCTGTGATGTTCTAGGATGGATTGAGCATTCCCAAGGCAGCAGGAAGGAGGCCAGGAACAGGTCTGAGGTGAAAGAGGGAGGGGAAGCCTGAGGGGGTGGCAGGAAAGGTGCCAGAAGAGAGGATCAGGATTGAGGCAGGAGCAGGGCTGGGGCAGATGTCTCCAGAGAGGAGAAAGTGGCAGCACGGCAGGAACTGGAGGGCCATTCTAGTGACCCCAAGGTCAACCATCAACCCCCCAAACAATCTAACTGCCAACATTCCATTTCCCATCATCCCTGCCCCCGTATCCAATAGTGCACTAGCTTTTGTGACCTGCTCCGTACTTCACTGACATTCCCTATTCCCTCCCACCCCGCCCACATCACTATCAGGGCAGAGAAAAGGAAACAGACATGATTTCAGAACAGAAATATGATGAAGCCCAACTTCTCACCACAGGGAAGAGATCTGTAGGGTGACCAGAGTGTTTCACGCATCACCATCCAAAGCAGAGTCTCACTCTGCTCTGGGGAACATACCTGGAAATCCAGGAAGTCCTCGTGGTCCAGGAATTCCACAGCACTTTGAATTCACCTCTGAGGAAAGAAATGAATCAATAAGTGACATTTCTTGAAGTCACAGGAACCCAAATATTTTGAAAATTCCAGTGGTAAATAAGCTCAGCAAATCGAGGCCAGCTAACACTAAGCTGTTGACCCTGGTGCAAACTCCATGTTGCACTGGTGCAAGACTTCTGCATTAGTGGCTTATCCTGTTGTTACCACACTCAGGTATTTACACTGGTGAGAATTTCCCTCTTGAAAACGGGTCCTCAGAACCTACAGATCGCTCTCACTGGCTCTCAATTAGATCAGGCTGAAAAACAAACACCACAATTTGTTCACCTGTTTGTGCCTCATCCTCAGCCTTACAAACCGCTGCTGCTAGACAGAATAAAGCGAGGAGGGTTTGCTGGGCAGCTCTCCCCATGACGCTGTCTCTGCAACGGCAGCTCCACTAGACTTCTCCTCTTCTCTGCGTTAGCCGTTCACCACTTGCAGCCTTTTAGAGAGCAAATAAATAAATATTCATGAACTCTCTCCCCTCAACTCTCAGCTCCTCCCACCAATCTGCACCTTCCACTGGTTTCTGCTGTGTCTGCTCTCTGCCTGATTTCTCCACCATCTCCCTTCACAAGGTCTCATGTTGTATTTCTACAGTGTCAAACCACAGTCACTCCATTTGTTAGTCTCCGTGGATTTCCTCTTTGAGAAAGTGTCACATTCTTCCCTCAAAGCAGCGATTCCCTGATGGGGGATTATCGATTACATTATGCTCAGTAAAAGTGAACTAATGTGCACCGATCTGATGGTCCGGGCACTAAAAGCCCCCAAAAGGCAGCTGAGTAACAAATCCACTTTTCATACAGTTCATGCTCCCTAGTCAATGGGTCCAACGGAATTTAAAAACAAAACCACTTGGAATTATCTAGTTATCTTCTACCGCCATGTCAGATCTCAAAAGCAGGGGGCTGTAGAAATACTGTGGTCTAAGCCAGCGGGTCAGAAACCTTCAGGGGCCAGTGACTGTTGTATTAATTTAGATTGAATAAATGCCCCCCAAAAGTCAAAGGTGGCAGCATGACCGTGTCATTCTTCAGCATTAAACCACATTGGACAAGGTCTGAGGTTTGGTGTACAGAGACCTTAGTAGCATGACAAACACACCATTAAAAAGAAACCCCCCTTGTTTGACAGTTTTTAGTAGCAGAGATGTTAATAACTGTCCTTTTGGGGAAAAGGAAAGAAGGCAGCTGAGATGGGCTGGAGCTCTCTAATCCATTTTCTAGAAAACAAGTCAGGACAAACACCCTCGAAAGGAGAAAAAAACAGCAAAGACAGAAAATGCAGCTCCTGACTCTGGCTTTGACTTTCATTTGTAACCTCCCTGCCAGAGACACAAAGGCCCAGAACATTGTCTTATTAGCCAGAAACTTGTATAGCATAGAGCTGCTTAAGGCATTGCTTTTAGCTGCCTCTGTCTGGTCACAGGCTTACAGTAGTGTTGCAAAAGCCAGACTCTTCTTAGACAGAAGGAAAAAGGAGAGGGCTAGGAAGAGAAGAAATAAGGTAGGAAAGGAAAAGAACATGCAGGGGCAGGTGGGTGTATGTGTGTGTGAGAGAGAAAGAGTCTCACATCCCAGGTGCTCTACAGGATTTAGCCAAAGCTGGTGAAGGTGGTGATATCATCTGGCTTTTCTCTCTGTCCCGGCCTGGTCAGGACGTCTCTCAGGATTAGGATGAAGAGGGCCTGGGGTCCCAGGAGATGTTGGAGGTGGCAACCATGGTAGTGAAGCTCACTCCTTCCCCTTCTTTTGTCTTTCCTCAGCCAGCGTTCACATCCGTCCATCCAAAGTCTCTTTCCGAGGACCCCAAAAGGGAGTGATGGGCGGAATAACCAATCTTATTATTTTGTCCCGCAACTAGGCCTAGTTTTGGTTCATTGATTTCCAGTCCTACACATCCCCCGTTTACCAGGTATAATTTTAACACAGTCCTTAAATGATATTAGTAGTCCTTTCGGATTAGTCTAATTTAGATTTTTTTGACTGCCTTTTGCACCATTTCCCATTAACATTTGTTATTATAGATTATTAAGAACTTGTACTTACTTTTTTACACTTCAGCTCACAAGTCAGGTAAATTTGTCAGCCTGGTTATTACAAAATGCCCTTTAGTAACATGCTGTTATATAAGGGAACTTCCCCAAATACCAAACTGCTTAGAAAATATGAAGTTTGTCTCAAAGCAAAAACCCAGATCTATTTAATTGTGTGTATGGGGGGACGGGAGAAGGGTGGTTGTTTGAAATGTAGAATAGAATTTTGTACCTTGAGCCCATTTCTAAGTATTAATCAAATGCATGCGGGTGTTTCAAAGAGATGAATCCAGTGCCCATATTATAAAATCTCCATCCAACCTGTGTTGAGGATTAGCCATAAAGAATGGTCCTTTCTTCCTTTGGATGGGACCTCCATGTCATTGACAGAATGACATTGGTTTGAAACCAGAGGAAGAGGCGACATTTTGGAGTTTTTTTAACTGCCTTTGTATTGGCTTTTTTCCCCACATCACATCATCTACGCTGTTGGTAAACTTCAATTTTCAATATCTGCTGTAAAGAAAAATTTCCCAGTATGGACACATCACAACACACCATTGATTCACCCACGAGAGAGGAGGAAAATCTACAATCCCATTATTGGCAATTTAGAAAAATGAAAGATTTTCCCCACATTTTCCAGAAGTAAAAATGGTGACTTTGGGGGCAGGGCCCTTCCCAAAGAACGTAACAATTAGGGACCACCAGTCAAACTTGGGTGTCTAAACCCCAGAACCTGAAATCTCTATGTAGCCACTTAAATAAGGTTATAGGGGCCTAAATCCTACTAAACTGGTTAAAACAGGGATTTAGATGACTAACATTAAACTGCCTATTTGCAAATGTGGTCGCAAATACTGCCCTGTGATGTGCATACATATCTACAACTGGCTTAAAGGAAAGTGTGGATCAGATTATAGGGAGCTGGGAATTGTGTAAAGAGAAGTGAAAGTTGTGTTTAGAGAAGTATGAATAACATGAAGGGAAGAATGAAGCATCTGGAGCGAAAAAATGAGCTGACTCCTATTTCTGAAGTATTGGCATTAGCTGACCCTGCATATTATTTATTTATAATCCTAAATGTATGACTTCTGTCCTGCTGCAGAAAGGGCAGGGGTGTTTATTGTGTGCAGCTGCAAGTCCTCATTCCTGGGACTGAGCAGAAGCTAAATCATGTGGCCAAATGGTTTCCCTGGAGATTGATTGCCCTGAAAGGGAGCAGAGACAAAGCTCCTTGGGACACAGGACTCATGGAAAGGCAGATGTGGATTTCTGAAGAAGGAAACTTCTCCCTGTTTATTCCTATTGTGTTCAGGGAAATAGGACTTCGTACATTCTTTGTAAATAAACAGGATATCACCAAAGAATATAGCTGACTCTAGCATCAATTTCGCCTCCTAATGGAAACAACCTGGCAAGAACCCAAATATTGGTTAACTGCTTGGGTCAAGGGACAACGTAAACACATTGATGGTAGCTTGAGAAGGATGAGTGTGGCAGAGGATAAAGCTTTTTAAAAGGATGTTTTTACAAAGAACTAAACCACAGTCTTAAACTGAATGCAGAGCGTTGATCTTCTAATTTGTTCAGTATCAGAGGGTAGCCGTGTTAGTCTGTATCCACACATGAAGAGAAGGGAATACCTCGCAAGGACTAAAATTCATTTGCAAATTTAACACCATTAATTTGGGCTTGAATAGGGATTGGCAGTGGCTGGCTCATTACAGAAGCAGCTTTGCCTCTCCTGGAATTGACACCTCGTCATCTATTATTGGGAGTGCACTACATCCACCCTGATTGAATTGGCCCTGTCAACACTGGTTCTCCACTTGCGAAGTAACTCCCTGCTCTCCATGTGTCAGTATATAATGCCTGCATCGGTAACTTTCACTCTATGCATCTGAAGAAGTGGGTTTTTTACCCACAAAAGCTTATGCCCAAATAAATCTGTTAGTCTTTAAGGTGCCACCAGACTCCTTGTTGTAATTTGTTCAGGAAAGACAGAGAGCAACATGAATTACACAGTGCTTCAGAAAGATCAGCTTGTGGGTTTGTGCTTACGGAGGGGTCTGTCGCTGGCTGATCATACAAAGGCAGCTGGCGTCTCTGCTGTATGAAGATGGACAAGTAGTAGAATGGGGCATCGTACCCAAACCAGGATTTAGAGGAGGGTCTTGGTTCTCTTACAGGGAAGATGGGTGAACTAGGAGACAGAGGCCAAGATAGACCAGCAGGGTAGGGAGGCTGTATGGAGGACAAATTCCCAGAGGGAGGCAAGGAGGATGAAAACAGGGGTGTATGTAGTACCCAGAGCTGAGACTAGGCCCCATCCAGACCAGGTTCCTCCAATCAACAGGACCTGGAGTGGCAGAAGCTGCAACTGGAGTGGGAAAAGCTGCAGCTTGAGAGAGAAAAGCTGTGACTGGAGGAGAAACGGCTTGCTGCTGGAATCGCCTTATCTTCTACCAGGGAGCAAGAACTCAACAGAAAGAGGCTGTAGCAATGCTGTGGTCTGAGCTAGTGGTTCAGAAATGGTGACCGGGGTCCCAGTGGGGAGCCAGCTGTGGTCACTCAATTAGGGTGAACTGCAAAGAATGGGGCAGCCAAGCCCCAAAAAGCTGGTGGATATTCTAATACCTAGATTCACCAGGCCAGCATCAAACAGCTTCTTTATTACCTCACTGGTTACTCAGAAGTCCCAACAACACAGTTCCCTTAAAGTGATCCACCCTCAGGCCTCCATCCAGGTACTCACGTCAAATATGATGACAATTTCTATAAATCTTATTTCATCATAGAAAAGAAAAGGTTCAACCAATCCCAAAGGATGGACACATCACCTCCCAGGTTAATCAATGTTTCAGATCTTACCCAAATACACGCTACAGCCAATTCTTATTAACTAAATTCTTAATAAACTAAAATGTATTAAAAAAACAAAGAGAGAGAGAGAATGGTTAAAAGATCAATGTACATACAGACATGAGTTCAGTTCATTGAGGTTCAGATTCACAGCAGAGATGGTGAGCTTTGTAGTTGCAAAAAGTTTCTTTAGAATTCAGTTCATAGGTCATAATCCAATGTCCAAATCTCATATTCAGGGCGAACCAGCATAACTGGGACCTCAGTCTTGCGACTCAAACTTCCCCTGATGAAGTCTAACCAGATCTTAGATGTGTGCTTTCTTTACAAGGTCGCATTTTGCCTCTTATATCGAGGCCCTGCCAGTTTGGTGTGAGAGATCACACACGCAGGGACTGCGGGCAACAGAATTCGGCTTGCAGGCAGACATGGTAAGCCACAGTCTTTTGGCTTCTTTAACCTTCATAACCTTCATAACATGTGGAAATGGTTTCAAACAGCAGCGCCCTCATTTTCCATACTAAGCACCCATTGGGTTGGCCATT